CATGTATGATTAGGTATCTGCAATAAGTTTATATTTAGTAATTACTCACAGTTATATTTCAGTATTGATCAAAAGATTGTTGTGTAATTCATTCAGTTGGTAAATAGTGGTAGGGACCATTTATATCATCTTAATGATATTTAAATAATACTTTCTGTACTATGTTACAAAACATATGATCATACTGTTCCTTATTCTTTAATTATATGTAATTTCATATACACAGTTTTCTTTTATAATTGGGTCATGGTTCAACTGAACTGACCCTTCCTATCAGACGTACCGTCCTTTGGTCAGATTCTACCCCACTGGCTTGGTTGCGGGCAGATTGATGCCATTTTAAGGTACCAGAGTCTCTGAGCTATAAGAATGTATTAACAGCTGACTGGAGGTATTTTAATACAGTCAGTGACCCATCTGATGAGCTTACCAGGGGCAAAACCCTTTTAGAGACCCAGTGGCCAAATCGGTAGAGTCAAGGCCCTCAATTCCTTACCCATCATTCTGACACCTGGCCCCAAGCCCCTGATGGCTCCGACAATGATTTAAATCACCATAGGCTTGAAATGAAGTCCTCCTTTTGTGGAGAAGTTGTCACTATCAGGTCTGAGGCAGACACAGGTGAATAGCTTCGGAGAACATCTTGCCCATCTCAGAGCTCAAAGACCCCTTCTGTCGACCAGTCACCTACTGTACTCACCCTTACACCAACAATATGTTCACACACAGGCCTTATTCATGTTGGAGGCAGGCTATGACAGAGTGAATAGCTCCATCAGCACGAGCCTCGTGAAAACCGAACAAAGTTATCCTGGTCAGGTCATTATTGTAAATGATGAATGGTTCTACAAATTACTTATCTTGTTAAATAATAGTAAAAAATAAGTAAATAGATTTAAAGTCACATTCATACTTTCACAGAGGTACAGCTTATTGTAACTACAGTCTGCCACTGTCAGTGAGACATGGAGGAATTAGAAACATTAGCACCATCTTGTGGGTCATTTTAGTAACAAACTATCATCAAAGTATCCAGAGGACATAATTGATTCCCATGACAAAAACATATACTGCATATAATTTATGGTTTTGGGTTTTATAATTTAGATCCTTCAGAGCATTTAATTTCTGTGTAATAAAAACTTCCTGTAACCATCTTAGATATGTCTATAACGAGATTGACTGCAGGACGTTAGGCTTTATGTTCATAAACACTGCCCAGACTGTTTCCACTTATATAAAAACCCTGCGGGTAATCTCATCTCACACTTTTGTAAAAAAGGTAAACAAAGTACTCCAGTTCTAAGCATTTGAGTTATGTTACAACACAACATATCTCAAGTGACAATATATGCTATGTAACAATGAATCTTCAAACACGTCACTTCCTCTTTTGACCACTGAAGTGACAGAATGAACAGTGACCTCATTCCATTACTCTGTATGTTGATCACACTTGAGTCTGGGGCTAAAAAAAACAAATTCCTTAGCATGAGACCAAAATGTACCATCATCCAGCTGATAAAAGATTACCTTTTGAGTTTCCAGCATGTTGACATTTGGAGGTTTTCATCTGGTAACATTTTACAACCTACACAGAGAAAAAATACATATATTACTGTGTCTTAACATGTATTGTGTGTATATATTGGGGAAGTCTCATCACTTCCTGGAGCATCTGTAGAGAATGATCTGTATCTCTGTTCAGTGAAGTCACTTTTAATGTATCTTAAAGAAATAAACATTGTATAAGTTATATTCTAATCATTTTGTTCAAGAAGTATCAAGTTTGTGAAACACAAGTTTCTTTCCTTTGCAGCTGTCGTGTGCAGTCTGCTTAAAAAGAACATGGAAGTGATGTAAGCCAAATTCTGTGGTACTTATGATGCTGGATGGTGGGTGATGCTGTTTCTCAACTTATTTTCAAGCAGTTAGTCTTCCACAAGAGGAAACACCGCAATCACCTACAAATCTGCATTAAAGAAGAAAAGCCTCACACAGCGAATGGACACAAAATGTCTCTACTGGGATTAATCCTTATTTTTGTGCTTCACTTTGAAGGTAAAGCTCTGATTTCTTGTTTAAATGGTAACAATAATACTACTACTAGAGAAACTAGAGGTTTGAAATTATTAATATTAATATTAGATAGCGACATGAGAAAAATTACGAGGAACAAGTCAGTATTTTCCTTCTTTAGAAGTCACTGTTGTGTGAGACAATTTGACAGCATTTGAAACCAGAGTGGAATACCACCTCTCTAAATCCGCCCCTGACTCCACACGTGATAGAATATTTAAGAATTTATGTTATAATTTGATGCAGTTAGTAAATCCAGTGCATACAACAATAAATATAGGATCATAAAAAGTTCACCCAAAACCAAACAAAGACGATAACATCTGATCTGGAGACTGTATTTGATCTGAGTCTGTTTTTGTTTGTTCTCACTAAACTTTATCTAGAAGAGCCCACAATTCACTACTTTTCATTTTTAAATCGTGATAATAAAACTATTAATAGAAACACTAGAGTTTTGAAATTTTCATTAATGTTACATAAAGGCTCGTGTGAAAAATAATGAGGAAATAGTCACTATTGTCTTACTTTAAAAGCCATTTTAATGAGCTTTGATCAATTTTCTGGCCTGTAAAAATGAACCAACGGTTGTGAGACAAGAACAGGATAGCAATTAAGAATCAATTATTTTTTGATAGATCCTTAAATGTATATATACTTCAGCATATGCAGATATAAAGATAAATAATGATCATATAGTCCGTCTGCTCTCTGTGTTCTCATTGGTTCCTTTAAACTCCACCCAGGGGCGGATCTAGAGAAATATTCATGGTGTGGTAAGAGGGTGGCAGAAATATCTGCCGATTTAATCACATTTTAACTCAATAACATTACACTATTGTGGCACATTGGTAATAGAAATAGAATAGACTTAGATAGAAATATATAAATGTGGCATTAAAAATCAAGAGTTTACTGAATTTAAACTCATCACTTAGTCTAAAAGGTGACCATAAGAGATCATTAAATTATATGAGTTTGATTTTTAACAAACTAATTCTAAAATAAATATAAATAGACGTCAAAATGTGTTAAAATGTGACGGCAATTGATACCAAACTGGGGTGGTAAGGCATTTTTAGATACGACACTTTATTCCATCCATGTGATAAAGTATTATTGTATTTACATTATAACTTGATGCAGTTAGTACATAAAGTGCATAAGATGACACAAGTGCATACAAAAGTAAACAAAGACAATAAGATCAGATCTGCAGTTTTTATTTGGTCTCAGACAACATTTGTTCATTGTGATCGACTGTGTGTTGCTTGTTTGTTCCAGTTTTATATGAGAATTACTCTCATATAAACACAACCACTAGATGGCCGAGGGTCACGCACTCCCTCCCTGTGGTTGCATATGTTAAAAAAACCAGCAACAACAACAAAAAACAATGCAGAACGGAACAATCTTTGTTTTTGTTTTGAGAATAAAATGAAATAAAATTCTCGTGTTAACTGTTTAGTCTCCATACAGATGATTTTATGTGTCATTTCTAACAGAACATGTATTCTTTCCTTCCCAGCAGGCATCAGTGGAGAACCTATCTATCTCTACAACAGATCTGGACATGATGTCATTCTGCCCTGTGCCAGTGCATCACCCTCTGACACAACATGCTCCATCATTACATGGTTTTACGACAGAGATCGATCTCAGATTTTCATTGAGGTTCAGGGAGGAAAAGTTGAGAAGAGATCAGCCCGAGCTGCCAGGATGAGTCTGAACACTTCCTGCTCTTTGGTCATTAACAACATCACTGCTGAGGATGCTGGTCAATACGCCTGTCAGCAGGGGATGGAAAATTATTATGATGCACTGGTATATTTAAGTGTTCTGACAAGTGAGTCTCAATTCCATTAAAACTCATTGAGATTATTTTACTTTTGTAAAAACGAGTGTAGGTGTTGTGCCCTTGAAAAAGGGGAATAGTAACGGGAGAAGGATGAGGAAAACACACGCTGCTCTTTCCTTCACTCGTCTGTACTGAATATTATTTTGATCAATGCATACAAACACCAGACACATGTATTTAAATTATACTTTTAAAAAGCTATCTCATGACATTTTGACTTTTTTTAAAACTAAGTTATCATGGGACACTTGAATGATAAAATGTATTTTTAACTTGCTTAAGCACGTCACGTTAAAAACGTCTCTTCCATTCATTGAAAAGCAGAGTAACAGAAGGAAAAGTACTATCAACATGTGTTCATAAGTTTACAGTGCTTTGCAAACGGTAATTAACTTAAAAAGGGGAATAGTAACGGGAGAAGGATGAGGAAGACACAAAGCAGCTCTTTCCTTCACTCGTCTGTATTGAATGAGGAAGAGGAGCGCCCCCCCTACTGGAGCCCCAGGCATTACCAACAGATAGACGAACCATTAAACCACACAGACCAGGATCTGTATTACCTAACTGCATTCTTCTTCCTGGTATTACTCACTGGTTGTATACCCTCCTTATACATTCACAACTACTATAAAGGAAATTACATCTTTTGAAAATATAATAACTGTGATAACATCAAACTGAATTATGTTTGACTCTAAATTAATTGTTGTATACAACTTGTCACACAGGTTGAGTGGATGGAGCTCAATGAAAGAGAGGAGATAATCTGATTGGTCATTGATGATCACAATGCTCCTGCTCCTTCATTTATAAAAGAAAATACCCCTCCCCAGTTTACAGAGACTGACTCAAATAACTGATTAATATTCTTTATGTGTTTCCTTTTTTCATTTTCTTAACTTTTTTCAAAGGTCTTGATTCCATTTGGTTCAGTCCACCTTCATATTTTAACTCAGTAAAACAAAGATGACAGAAGATGAAAAGAAACTTGTCAGGACCTTTTAGTAAAGTCGCTCAAACATTTTTTACACTGAGTTAACAGTTATCACTTGTTTTCTCTCAGTCTCTCCATCTCCTCCAGACGCTGATCCAAAGAGGGACGGTGAAGTTACATTAGAGTGCTCTCTGTTGAGATGGGATGGACTGGGCCCTTGTAAACAGAACAGAGTCCGCTGGGTGGATGAGACAGGAACTGTGCTGCTTGATGAAGGTGTCGGGTACAAGTTCCTTGGACAGAAGGACTGTGTCTCTGTTCTGAAAGTGAAGCGTCAGAGTGGCCACAACAAGACATACACCTGCCAGTTTGTTGATGAGAACAATGTAAAGATAGAGGCTGACTACACACCTGTCTTCATAGGAGGGACAGGAGACGGTCAGCCAGCAGAACCTTATTCAGGTAAGATAATATGCAGCTCGCCAGATATAAAGAATTACTAGAGATTGAAGGTTTAAGTTAAAATGATCATTTAATGTTTAGGATACATTGCTTTCTGTTTTTACACCTTAAATGATTCAAATAATTTAACAGTTTTCTGTGCCAACAACAAGCAGATGTTATGTATCTTCAGATGGCAAAACATTCACACTTTAATCATTTTTTTTCTTTACAAAAAGAAACTAGTGTCTTCTTACACTGTAAAAAAGTCAGAAATATAAAAACTTAAATATACACTTTGCTGTTCTGCAGATCTTTTCAACCTCATTTTGCAATTCTCCCGTATTTCTCTCAATTTATAACAAACAGCACCTTTTTTTCCCTTTACGTTATCACAATCTGTTTCTAGCACTGTGCAGCACCTGTAAGCCCAACAACTCTAAAAGTCCACTGTTTCCACACAGACAACAATACATCCCAAATCAGTGCTTTTGTTAAACTTGTAACCTCACAAACTAATGTTAGCTGATGATGTGCTCCTTGACCTCTGAAGTAACACTTGATGAAGTCAAACTTGCCAACCCTGAGACAAATGAATGGATGAGTGAAAAATAAAGATTTTTAGTTCCAATAAATGACCGAGGGTCTCACTCTCCCTCCCTGTGGTTGCAAATGTTAAAAAAAAACAGAACAATCTTTGTTTTTGTTTTGAGAATAAAATAAAATCCTCATGTTAACTGTTTAGTCTCTATGATTTTATGTGTAATGTCTAATTTCTTACAGAACATGTATTCTTTTCTTTCCAGCAGGCATCAGTGGAGAACCTATCTATCTCTACAACAGATCTGGACATGATGTTATTCTGCCCTGTGCGAGTGCATCACCCTCTGACACAACATGCTCCAACGTTACATGGATTTACAGCAGAGATCGATCTCAGAGTTTCATTGAGGTTTGGGAAGGAAAAGTTGAGAAGAGCTCAGCCCGAGCTGCCAGGATGAGTCTGGACACTTCCTGCTCTTTGGTCATTAACAACATCACTGCTGAGGATATTGGTCAATATGCCTGTCGCCATGGGACGAGCCCTAATCAGAGTGCAACTGTATATCTAAGTGTTCTGACAAGTGAGTATCGAATCCATGAAAACTCATTGAGGGAGAATTTTACTTTTGGCAAATGTTTTTAAAATGAAAAAAAGAAGATAGATAGATAGATAGAGTAGATAGATAGATAGATAGATAGATAGATAGATAGATAGATAGATAGATAGATAGATAGATAGATAGATAGATAGATAGATACTTTATTTATCCCAAGGGAAATTCAAGTATCCAGTAGCATACAAAATACAAAACATACATTAAATATACATTAAACATACATTAAACTAAAATTAAAAACTGTAACCCTAAGAATAAAATAAAAAGAAATAAAAGAAAAATATAAAATATTATATATATATATATATATATATAAAATATAAAATTAACATTAGCTACAGTAAACAGTGCAAATGGAAGTAAAACAGTGCAAATGGAGGTAGAAATTGTCCATTGTCTATTGTCTATTGTCCTCCCTGCCTTTACTGAGAGTTGTTGTACAGTCTGATGGGGGACGAAAGAGTTTGTGAGTCTGTTGGTGGAGCTGGACTGGGACAGCAGTCTGCCACTGAACACACTCCTCTGCCCGATGAAGGTGTTGTGCAGAGGGTGGTGGGCGTTGTCCAGCATGGACAGCAGTTTGTCCAGGGTCCTTCTCTCTGCCACTGTCACCAGAGAGTCCAGCTCTGTGCCCACCACTGAGCCAGCTCTCTTCACCAGTCTGTCCAGTCGACCGGTGTCCCTCTTCTTGCTGCTTCCTCCCCAGCAAACCACAGCATAAAAGAGGACGCTGGCCACCACAGACTGGTAAAACATCTGCAGCAGTTTTTTACAGATGTTGAAGGACCCCAGCCTTCTCAGGAAGTACAGACGGCTCTGCCCTTTCCTGTGTAAAGTGTCCATATTTGCTGTCCAGTTCAGCTTGTCATCCAGCTGCATCCCCAGATATTTATAGATCCTGACCACCTCCACATCGACCCCCTCGAGACACGGGTTGGAGATGTGGTTTCTTCCTTCTGAAGTCCACCACCATCTCCATGGTCTTAGAGGTGTTCAGCATTGTTTCAAGCTAAACCTCAATCCAGTTATACACCCTTTTCCTGTCCACTATGTCTCTTCTTTAAAACGCATTTCCCAAACCCGACCAGTGAGCGAGGTGTCTGTCAGTGTGATATGTCAGGTTCTGATTAAGGGGGACAGTGACCCATTAACCTGTTTATATACTTTATATACTGGTTTGGGACGGCTCTTAACATGAGGGATACTCACAGAAAAGAAGTGTAGGTTGAGTGGATGGAGCTCAATGAAAGAGAGGAGATAATCTGATTGGCCATTGTTGATTGCAGTTCTCCTGCTCCTTCATTTATAAAAAATAATAATTCTACCTCAGTTTCAATTTACTGATAAATATTCTTTACAAGTTTCCTTTTTTTTTTTCTTTACTTATTTTGTTTGTCAAGCCACAATAGAAAGTTGTTGATTCCATTTGGTTCAGTCCACCTTCATATTTTAACTCAGTAAAACAAAGATGACAGAAGATGAATAGAAACTTGTCAGGACCTTTAAGTAAAGTCGCTCAAACATTTTTTACACTGAGTTAACAGTTATCACTTGTTTTCTCTCAGTCTCTCCATCTCCTCCAGACGCTGATCCAGAGAGGGACGGTGAAGTCACATTAGTGTGCTCTGTGTCGAGACACAATGGACTCGATCCTTGTCAACTAAACAGCGTCCGCTGGGTGAATGAGACAGGAACTGTGCTGCTTGATGAAGGTGTCGGGTACAAGTTCCTCAGACAGATGAGCTGTGTCTCTGTTCTGAAAGTGAAGCGTCAGAGTGGCCACAACAGGACATACACCTGCCAGTTTGTTGATGAGAACAATGTAAAGATAGAGGCTGACTACACACCTGTCTTCATAGGAGGGACAGGAGACGATCAGCCCGAAAAACCTCATTCAGGTAAGATAATATGCAGCTCAACAGATACAGAGCTTTGCCTGTTGGTTTCTCAAAGTTTCACATGTTGGAGATAAAGTATTTTCACAGTAGAACAATTTGTAACATTCAGGTTATTTTCTCCTGCAGGACATTAAATATGGTATTTACTTATTAATAAACATGTTTTTTTTTCTAAATCATGTTCAACAGATTCTACAGATTGGCCTCTGAGCCCTATCATGTTGGCTCTAAGAATAACAGGACTGATCCTAATGATTGTAATCACTGTTCTTGTCATCAGACACAGAGGTGAGGAAACTCAGACCATCATTTGGTAAAACTGGATCATATAAATCATTTGTTTAGAATTTTAATGGTACTTTTTATTGTTGTTTTTCAGTGAACACAAAACCACTTGATGACGACAATGTGAGTTAAAAAATAATTAATAGTATTTGGAAAATAAAAGATGTAACTTTTTCATTTGAGACTGTTGTTCCTTCTGTGCCCACAGAGGCTGCAGTCTCTCTGGTAGAAACATCAACAGTTTGTTCCCTTCAAACAATTCAGAATCTCATTGGTTGTGTTGTATTTCACAGGTGCATCAGGATGGCCACGAAGTCAATTATGAAAATGTAGAAGCACGTCCTGCTACTACTAGACTGCACTGATCAACAACTTCCACACCAACGTCAGCTCACCAGAAAGTCAAATATCATCGCAGTCATTTTACATGAGGGATCCAAGCTTTGAGTTATAATGATTGTATAATGTTGAGGATACATTGCTTGCTCCTTTACAACTTAAATTATTAAAATAATCAAAGTGTTTCTGTGCCGACAACAGGCAGATATTAGCTTCAGATAGTAAAAACATTCACACTTTAATGTTTTTCTGAACAAAAACCTCATTTAACAATGTTTTTTTCATTGATTGTCCACACTGTATATTTCAGTCTCAGCACTCTCATCAACCCGTACTTGCCAACCTTTTAAAGAGGTCACAATTTTCCTGTATTTCTCTAAATGTATGACACAATTTCACATCTTTTTGTTTTTTTTAATTGATCACAACTTGTTTCTGAGCCTAATAACTCTATAGGTCTACTGTTTCCACACTGACAACAATATAGTAACACAAAATATAGATTTCTGGAAATAATGTCACACAGAAGAGAGCTGCTCATGCCTGTTCCTCCTCAAAGAGAGAAATTGAGAGTATTGAGAGGAAGAAATACTTTAAGAAATACTAATTTCCCAGGCAAAAAATGATCATCACAACCATCAATGTTTTTTTAATGTAACCTGTAACCTCACAAACTAATGTTAGTTGATGATGTGCTCTTTGGCCTTTGAAGTAACGCTTGATGAAGTCATACTTTTCCAACCCTGAGACAAATGAATAAGTGAAAATTAAAGGACATGAGTTAATGCCAGAGATTCAATCAAATTCATTTGAGATGGTTAAATGATTCACTGTTCATGAGAATTTAATGCAAAATATGTTGCAGTGTACTTATTTTTTTAATATATTTTAAGCGCTTTAAGTCACCAGAAAGTATGAAATAAAGTCTCTGAAAGTCTGAAACCCCTTCGTTTTGAAATCTTCCCCATTTTTGAAGTCTCAAGGTTGGAAAATATGCACCAGCCCTGTTTTCAGCAGTAGCAGGAAGCTCTACTGTAAATTACCTCCCCAGCACCAAACAACCAACAGACACAGTTAGGGACGAGCTGTTGAACATAAAGGAACATTCAGCAGCTAAAGAGCCAGAAAAGACAAAAAGAGAGTTTGAAGAAGAGTGAATGTTGGGCTTACATTCAACAGGTGTATAAAAACACAACTTGAATGTGATGCTGGTTTAGAATGATTTGCTCAGAGGTGTTTTTGGTATGATACAAAGATATTAATGTGTATGAACTAGGGATGTCCCAAACCAATCATCAAGGCATTTTTCAACTGATCGGTCTCATATTTTATTGTGTGAATAAATAAATGAAATAAACATTAGGAACAGCTTCAAGGAGTGTATCAAGTCTGAGAAACACAAGTTTCTTTTTTTGTGGTTGTCGTGTGAAGTCTGCTTAGAAGGAACATGGAAGTGACGTAAGCCTAATTCTGTGGTACTGATGACAGGCTGGGTGGTGGGTGTTGCTGATTAAGTTATTTTTAAGGAGTTAGTCATCCACAAAAAGGAAACACCACTGTCACCTAAAGATCTGCAATAAGGAAGACAAACCTCACACAACGTCCACCTGCTGACAGAGAATGGACACACAATGTCTCTACTGGAATTAATCCTTATTTTTGTGCTTCACTTTGAAGGTAAAGCTCTGTTTACTTATTTAGATTGTTATACTACTACTACTACTACTACTACTACTACGAGTAATTCTAACGATTTGAAATTTCCATTCTATATCTCTCTATATAAAATATATCATATATAATAATAACAGATTGTATTTGATCTGAGTCAGTTTTTGTTTATTCTGATAGACTGTGTGGTGATTTTTTTCCTCATAATATTTACAGTGGAGCTGTATAACAGAGAGCCCACGATTCACTAGTGAACTGAGACAGAAATGAGAATTACTCTCATATAAACACAACCACTAGATGGCAGAGGGTCACACGCTTCCGCCCTGTGGTTGCAATTGTTTAAAAAAAAAATTTCAGTATAAAATGAAATAAAATCCTCATGTTAACTGTTTAGTCTCCATGCAGATGGTTTTATGTGTAATTTTTTACAGAACATGTATTATTTTCTTTCCAGCAGGCATCAGTGGAGAACCTATCTATCTCTACAACAGAGCTGGACATGATGTTAGTCTGCCCTGTGCCAGTGCATCACCCTCTGACACAACATGCTCCATCGTTACATGGTTTTACAACAGAGATCGATCTCAGACTTTAACTGAGGTTCAGGAAGGAAAAGTTGAGAAGAGCTCAGCCCGAGCTGCCAGGATGAGTCTGAACACTTCCTGCTCTTTGGTCATTAACAACATCACTGCTGAGGATGTTGGTCAATACATCTGTCAGCAGGGGATGTACAATGATAAAGCCATATACATTGTCAGTGTTCTGACA